GTAATTCTTGCAATATGTTATACTTTATCATCATTGTATCTGTTATGGTGATCGGTGATCTTTGACGTGACTGTTGTAATTGTCTTTGGGTACCACAAGCTGTGCCTGCCTGTAAAAGGCGATGAACTTGATAAGAGACTGCTCTGCTGACCAGTCCCCCTTCCCCTTCCTGTGGCCTCCCTATTCCCCGAGATGCAACAACACTGCAGCTAAGCCAATTAACAACTGTACAGTGGTCTTTCATTTTAAATCAAAAGCTGGAAATAAGATTAACTTTAGCGAGGAAGGTGTGCAAAAGCTAAGATAGGCTGAAAGCTTGCACCGAACAGTTAGCCAAGGTGTGAATGCAAAGGAAAAGTTCTTGAAGGAAATTAAAAGTGCTACTCCGGTGAACACATGAATGATGAGAAAGCAAAAGAGCCTATGGGGAAAGTTCGAGTGTTCTGGACAGAATGTCAGACCAGTCACAACATACCCATATGCCAAAGCCTAATCCAGAGTGAGGCCCTACCCCTCTTCAGTTCTGTGTAGTCTGAGAAAAGTGAGGAAGGTGCAGAAGGAAAGTTGGAAGCACACAGAAGTTGGTTTATGAGGTTTAAGGAACCATACTATCTTTGTAACATAAAAGTGCAAGGTGAAGCCACAAGTGCTGATGGAGAGGCTGCAGCAAATTACCCAGATCTAGCTAAGATCAATGATGAAGGTAGCTCTCTAAAATAGCAGATCTTCAGTGTGAATGCAGCAGCCTTCTCTTGAAAGAAGATGCCATCTAGGACTTTCATAGCTTGGGAGAAGTCCCTGTCTAGCTTCTTTGTTATTTGGGACTAAGGGAACTGATGTCTTTCAGTTGAAGCCAGTGCTCATTCTCATTCTGAGAATCCTAGAGACCTTAAGAATTATGCGAAGTCTACTCTGCCTGTGATCTATAAATGGAACGACAAGCCTGGAAGACAGGACATCTGTTTATAGCATGGTTTGCTAAATAGTTAAAGCCCACTGTTGGGACCTACTGCTTGGAAATAAAGATTTCTTTCAAAATATTTCTGCTCATTGATAATGCACCTAGTCACCCAAGAGCTCTGATGAAGATGTAGAAGGATTTAGTCTGTAGCCCACAGATCAAAGAGTAATTTTGATTTTTAAGTCTGGTTATTTAAGAAATACATTGCTTAAGGCTATAGCTACCACAGATAGTATTCCTCTGATGGTTCTGGGCAAAGTATATTGAAAACCTTCTGGAAAGTATTCACCATTCTAGATGCCATTAAGAAGACCTGTGATTCATGGGAGGAGGTCAAAATGTCAAAATTAACAGGAGTTTGGAAGAAGTTGGTGGATGACTTTGGCAGATTAAAGGCTTCAGTGGAGGAAGTCACTGCAGATAATGGTGGAAATAACAAGAGAATTAGAATTAAAAGTGACGCTTGAAGATATAATGGAAATGCTGCAACCTCGGGATAAAACTTGAATGGTTGGGGAGTTGGTTTTTATGGATGAGCAAAGGAAGTGGTTGCTTGAGGCGGAATCTGGTAAAGATGCTGTGAATCTTGTGGAAATGACAACAAAAGATTTAGAATATTCCAGAAACTTAGTTGACAAAGTAGTGACAGGTTTGGAGAAGAGTGAGTCCAATTTTTTTTTTTTTTT